GAAATCAAACAAACTTCTAACCCCAAGTATCTTGGACTGACTCTAGATGCAGAGTTGAGATTCTCTAAACACCTTGAACATGTTTCAATAAAGGCACTGAAAAAGCTAAACATCCTTAAAAGACTTTGTGGTGCCTCTTGGGGGATCAAGACCAAAAACCTTCAAGAATACTTACACTTCCATCGTCAGGCCTGTTCTAGAATATGCAGCACCCATATGGGCATCGGCAAGGCCTACTGTTAAAGGAAAGATCAATGCTGTTCAATATAGGGCCTCTAAAATCATCACTAGAGCTGTTTCATAAATGAATAACATCAAAATTGAAAAGGAATGTGGCCTCGCCCCCCTTGGAGAGCAGAAGAAAAATAATAACAATTAAATTTACCAACAAAATACAAACCCTTGCTGAACATCATATCTCAAGTAGAACTTTCAGGGCATGGAATGATAATTGCAGGCTTAAGAGATCCTCGACCCTCCAACATGACCAAGATATCAGAAATGACATCAACATCAAATATGAGACTCAAAATTTTCAAAGAGCCTTACAACATTCTGTGCCCTCTCCCCCAAACAAAAATTTATTTAAATCTTTTACAGCCTTGTACCAGGAAAGATCCCACCGCAGTGATCAAAGAAAAGGGTGACCATACCATTGAGGAACTCACGACCTTAACTCAAGATCTGATGATCGCCTACACAGAACGGCTCTTTCGACTCCAATCTGAACAGAGTAGGAGCGGACCACACGGAGTGCAGAAATGCCCCAGTATCCTGTTGGGAAAATTGTCTCCAACTATGCATGCGAGCTCGTCGCCATCAAAAGTGTTCTGGAGACTTATCTCTCTAAAGAAGACCAGAGTTCCAAGGGCGTCATCATCTTCTCTGACTGTAGATCAGCATTGCAAGCGATCCAGAAGGGCAAATGTCAAATCAGTCATCAGATCATTGAGCTCACAAACAAAATCATTTCTGCCCAAAGATCCTGCATCTTACAATGGATACCGGCTCATGTAAATATTTTTGTTAATGAGAAGGCCAATGAGCTTGCAAAGGCATCCAGTGATTCTCCTCAGCCATCCAACTGCTTAATCTTCGTTGATGCCAATGCAGTTGCCAGCCAAAGACTAATCGGTCAAGTTAAAGGAAACTCCATCCCGGAATTGAACTGCGACAGAGCCATATTGACTATCATAATCAGACTTAGGACAAATCACTTAAAAGTAATGAGGATTTCTGCAGACGGACAGCGTAGTTACACCAACATTTGTCCTCATTGCCCAGATGACATGCCACTGTCTCGCCATCACATCTTCAGCTGCCCAGCAATTCAGGCCAGACTGTTTAACATCGGCATTGAAGACCCAGTGGGCCTACTTTATACTGATAGAGCTGCCGAGGTTGCAAAAGCTGTCTTTGACAGCTTCAAAGCTATATAATTGCACTTTGTCATAGACACGACATCATCATCATTAAGACATGACTTGAAAGTTACTGGAATGCACCTCGAACTACTTCCTGATAATTCAGTATTTATGATATGGTGCATTATCCTGTTGCTAAACACCATTCCTCGCCAGAAATTGTGTTGTCATGAATGGCTGAATTTGGTCTGCAACAGTGTTAACGTAGCACACAGACGTCAGGGGTTGTTTTGTGGGGATTATGGGTCCTAATGTGCTCCATGATAACATTGCCCACACCATAATACTCCTGCCACTGACTTGTCTCCATTCAACTGTGCATTTGGGAGCCAGAGTTTCGTTTGAAATTTTCATATTACAGGGTTCTCCTGCTACCTGGAAAGCCGAAAAAGTCAGGGAATTCAAATATTTAGTCAAAATCTGGAAAAGTCAGGGAATGTCATACGGCAAGCCCCAAAAAAGTTAGTTTTATGCCAACATTGGAAGCCATCACTTTGTTGGCGAATTATGTATCGCGTGAGCATCATTTGGGCAGTTGGCATCGAACCAGTTTTTGCAGCTCCAGTCAGATAGAAAGGCAAAGCAAGTTTCCAGCAACTTTGTTTCCAGTAATCCCAAGAATCAAGAGTCTTGCCTGTGCAGTCATATCACAGTACATGTTGAACTAAAGAAAATACCTTCCCATTCTTGTATACAACAAAATCAGTTTAATCCTAGTATATGGTACTATGGAGGCTAGAATACCCCCCATGTACTCTATTTTAATGAAAGAATGTCTATGTAAAGAAGGAAAGGTTCCATAGACATAATGTAAATCAGTTTGCTAAAGTGCCACTGGAAAGCAGAGGAAAAACTCGCCAAGGGATTTGGCAATGGAACCTGGCGGCGAGAATTTCTCCCACTGCGGGAAATTGTAAAGCATGTGCTAAGAAGAAACATTCTTTGACAAAACGTTTCTTTTTTGACTTTCACGGTAATTTAAACTCGGATTTTAGTACTTTTTTTTGCTTTAAATAACTAATTTAGTAATTAATTTACTTGCATGAAAAAATATTTTTTTTTCCTCTAAAGTTTAAAGAAATTTAAAACAATATCCGTTTTATGTACTCTTGATAAACGTGACCTTTGATCTTCGACACTGGCTTCGAGCTTTGGCAATAGATATTTCGCACATATGCAGCTGTTTCACTCTACGTTGGGACAGAGCCACTCCTGTTCCGGAGAAGTTTTCCATCTTAACAATACAAATTTTTTTATTCTAACCTTGTACGGTACACTTGGGATCTGGCGAGATTATGATGAGCAGTAGCAACACACCTCTCTGTTTAAGAAAGTGTTGGCGGAAATTTTCAAAATTGTGGTCAAGGCCGTAGCATAGACTAGGATTTTACTGCAAAATCTTTTAAACCTTTTCTATCCAAAGGGTTCTTTGTCCCTGAAGGACTATCGTTTACTTTGCAATTTTGCATTGAATCACTAAACGGCAAATCACTTTTTCAAACTCTTGCCACCAAATGTTAGAGTCCTACATTATATTTGAAGAAATTAAATAAGGAAAAATCTGCATAAATGTATGTATATTTCTCACATTGTGACAAAACAACAATACATAGAGCCATCAAATTTTGAATGATGTAATCCTCTTATGAATATGGGCACGTGGAAGACCAAATTTGAAATTTGGATTTTGTTTTATTATTGATTTCATATTTTGTAAAACTTTTAACGAATTTTTGAGTAACGAACTCGGCGACTTAAAAGCGAGAAATGGCAACACTTTACGGGGGGGGGGAACCTTTTTACCTCCAGCGTGTGGAACTGTGTATCAGAAATTCTAAAGATAAAATTATTTTGTGCCATTGGTATATAACTGAATTTTATAGTTTAATGCAAAGAACATTATATTTAATAAATAAAGGTAACATACAAAACATTAAAAAAACGTCCCTTTAAACGTAATTTAAAATCTGAAACCTTTCAGAATTTTTTTTTTTTTTTTTTCATTTTAAATAAATGCCTTATTTTTCATTTTGCAGTAAAATAAATAAATAAAAAAAATCAGTCGTCTAGGCTGACATTTAATATAACTATAGTCGCTGAAATATCATTGATTTTTGTAATTCAATTTTAAAGTAATTAACTTCATTTTAATGTTATTCATATCATTTAATGTTGCTTCCTTCCTCTAAATTTATTTTTATTATTTAATAATACTTTCAAATTTCATGCAATTTTCTCTGGCATACTTGTGAAACTAAATCTAGCAGTGTGATGGCATAATATCACGAAATTTAATCACATATTTTCCTTGTGTATGCTGCTAAATAAATATAAAATACCTGAATTTATTTAAAAATGTCATTAAATAGATTTCTTCCTTTCGTTTACTTGCAAAATGTCTGCAAAAAAGTCATTTTTTAATCCAAATTGGGCAGATTCTAATCTCAATCTTCAGTGGAGAAAATAACTTCTATTATAGTTATAATAGTAATGCTTTGGGAATTATATATATAGTAAGTCATATGAAATTGGCAAATTTTTGTGTTTTCAAGTAGTACCATAATTAATTTACCTCTCAGCACAGGCAGCGTGCACTATGCCTATAGACTGGAATTTTCTCAAAACACATCTGGAAAAGTCAGGGAATTTCATTCTCCTCTTTAAGTGGCAACCCTGGTATTAGTACACGCCCATCAATGTGATGGACCAGAAAACGTGATTTGTCGGACCATGCAACTTTCTTCCATTCCAATTTCGATGTCCAATTTCAATGTTTCTTGGCCCATTGCAGACGCAGCTGGTGATGACATGCCGTCAGTGCAGTGACATGCTTTGGCCTCCGGCTGCTTAGGCCCATATGCAACAATATACGCTGCACAGTGTGTTGAGAAATACCATTTGGTCACCACTGTTGTAGCTCTTCGGTCACGGCTAACAATGGGTAGCAATCTCAGCTCTCTTCTGGAATCAATGCACCATTGACGACACACTGCTGGCCAGCGACTTGCCGTTTCACCATACATACACTTTCGATATCTGCTCACAACAGCTGCATGTGAACAGACCACTAAACATGCCATTTCTGATAATGATGTTCCCATTTGCTGAGCCATAGCGATTTGATCTTTATCAAAGTCTCATAAATTAGCTGTTTTTCCCATTATGTTGCTAATCGCACTATGTTTGGAAAGACAATGCATAGCCACTTTATATACTCCAACATCAGCTGTGCACGCACACTGGTTTAGTTCTGGGCGAGTCCATTGCTATTGATGGAAGGTGGTCATAATGTAATGGCTCTTTGGTGTATCATATAATATAATATATAAAGTATTTAATGTGATTGATGTCAAATTTGTTCAAATCTGTGATGTTTTCAATTAAAAAAATTAGAATATTGTACAAATTAAGTGTTGCGCATATTAAAAATTGCACAGTTATTGATGACACGGCTATATAAACAAGCTTCCGCTATTGGTGCCTTATTAACAGGAAAGAACCTGTGTTTTTTGTTGATAATTAGAATTAAATAATTCTGAAAAATTTGTAAAGCTGGATTTTTTTAAATTATTTTAGATATGATTCGCAGGAGGAATTTACGAACACGTTCAATCAGAATGCTTGTATTAGATGAAGCTGATGAAATGCTGAATAAAGGTGAATATAGTAATTTATTAATGTTATTTTTTAGTTTATATTTTGTATTTTGACTTATTTTAGTTTTTGTATCTTTTCTGTAAAATATTGTGTTATTTTTTAATATTTACATTTTAATGTTTGATAGGTTTTAAGGATCAAATATATGATGTGTACAGATATTTGCCACCAAGCACTCAAGTCGTTTTAATATCTGCCACGTTACCTCATGAAATATTAGAAATGACAAGTAAATTTATGACTGATCCAATCAGGATTTTAGTGAAACGGTGAGTATTTATTGAAATGTTAGGCACCAGTTTAAAAATTAGCTCTACACAAACAAGTACTAATTTAGAAGTCAAACAACAAAAATCAGCATTAAATTTTCAAAGGACTAGTTTCCACTGCTGAGGAAGCCATCGAAACTAGTCCTTTGAAAATTTAATGCTGATTTTTGTTGTTTGACTTCTAAATTAGTAAAATCTTAATATGTTTACATTTTTATTTACAAATTAATATTCCAGCTTACTTACATCAGTAGTGATGAGAGATCTTAATATTATGACACAGTGACACGCCAAACAAGTACTAATTTAGAAGTCAAACAACAAAAATCAGCATTAAATTTTCAAAGGACTAGTTTCCACTGCTGAGGAAGCCATCGAAACTAGTCCTTTGAAAATTTAATGCTGATTTTTGTTGTTTGACTTCTAAATTAGTAAAATCTTAATATGTTTACATTTTTTTATCCCCCTCCTTTTAACTTTTAATGAAGACCTTGCATTGACAAACATTTTTGTTTGATAGTGTTCTTTTATTGCAGCTCTTATCTAAAAAGTATAGCTCATATTTTAAACATTGTTTTTATAATTCACAGGAGAGAAAAGATAATCAGAGGATTTGAAGTCACGATTTTAGTAGCCCAATGTGTTCACTCTGTTCTTTTTATGTATTGCTAATGGTTCTAAGGTATTTGTGTCATTGAGAATCAGATTGAAGATACTCTGAAGTGAGTTATGTGTGTATTGTGAGAAGATACAACTCCTTTGCCTAGGATTTTTGCCATTTTATAAACTTTTTCAGTAAATTCAATGTGAAAAAATTATATGACAAAGGATCTTATATTTTTTGATTAGAAAAACTTGAAACATCAAGAAATGCAGTGTCACATGGTGGAATGAATTCTTTGTAAAGATTATGAGAACATTTTTCCTGAATTGTGCATCATAGTCGTTCATGTGCGTTGTAATAATATAGTGTAACATATCACAATATTAATTTATTACCTTCTTCAGTGAAGGAAAAAATTATAATTGTATGTATACCAGTTTGGATACATTTGTTCCAGCTACTCCAATGATTCATGATACCACATGTTCTGACCAAAATTCCGAGTGCAAAATATATTTTAACTCCAAATCTTAGGCTTGCTATGGCTATGACATATAAACAAAAATAAATATTAATTATTTATTGCATAAGTGTTTCCATGCATTTTCCAGAATTTCTGGTGTGTAATTTGTTAAGCAGCAGCTCTGTAAGGTACTGATGTGTCAACTATACGTGATGTTTTGATTTTATGAACCTCATAATTGAGTAAAAAGATTCACAAGAATATGTCATTCTAAAAATGAAATTATTTGGAAAGCATCTATTTTCAAGTAAGGATACTTTGGTTCTGGCACAAATTTCTAAAACTAAGCAAAGAAAGAAATTTCTGATGCATTTATAATGACTGATCTTGCATTTCTCCCATTCCATTTTTGTAGCTGCTGCTTTACCAGCAAGTATTATTTCAGAAATATGAAAGCCATCTTCAATAATGTTAATAAACAGATTAACCAAAAAATTATTGTTGTTTCAAATTGAGTTTTAAAACCTGTTAGCTATTCTTCTAGCTTTTCTTGGTAGTAATTAAGTTTTTCTTCTTTAAAGTAAAAAGACCTCTTTTTTAGAGGAAAATAACTGGAAGATTTATTTTTAAGATTATTATGAAAAATATGAAGTTTAGTCTGAAAGCTGAATATAGTCCAAGAGAGATCACATATCATTTTCCCCTTTCCTTGTAATGCTATTATGAATTTGTTACATTGTATCAGCTACAAACATTAAATCTTTTAGTCGTTTATCATCTTTTAGTTGCGAGTATGACTTTTCATTTTGCTTTAGAAATGCAGTGATCCAATCGAATAGTTTAAACTGATTTAAACATTATAAGTTGATAGTCACCTCATAATGCAGTAGAAAATTAAAATGTTTGGAAGTTCTGCATTGTTCATGTGTTCAAGAACATTTTTTAATTGGTGATGATTATTTGCATTTGTTCAAATCACAGTGAATTATGCAGTGAAGAGGTATAAATTATGGAATTTTAGGTTCATTTTTTAAAAGACCATTGAAACCTTTATTTTTCCCATGCATTGCAGATGCTTCATCAGTTACAACACTTAGAAGTTTATTAAGCGCCATCTGAAAATTATTTTTTATATCGATACTGTGAGTTGATTCCTTAAGTGCTACTAAATCTAGCATTTCTTTTTTCATAATCATTTATGATGAAACATAATGAATAAAAATTACTAATTGAGGAACATCCTGGATATCTTTTCATTCATCATGTGCCAAGCTTAAGCTGTTAACATCCAAATTATTTTAAAATAAAAATTTTTGAAAAATATTTAAAAATTACTTTTCATGTTGTCATAAATTAAGTAATTATAAAGCTTTATTTACTTACTATAATTAGCAGTTCAGATAATAGGAGATCTATAAATACATCACTGGATGCTTCTGGTAATAAAAGAACAAGTAACTGCCCTCTGATTTTATGCTTAAAAAATTACGAATGTAGTTAAAAAAAATATACATTTCTTGCATAATCTTTTCTACCTAAACATACAGAATCCATCACTTTTGGTCTCGATGACATCACTAAAGATCTTCCAATGCTTTTCTTAGAATTTGTTCCCAGTTTGAGGTACTTAACCGCAATATACCTTCGGATGTCTTTTATTTTTCATGAATTTGTTGAAAATTGACCTAGTCAGGGAAAAATCAGGGAATTCAAATATTTTAGCCAAAATCTGGGAAAGTCAGGGAATTTTATACTGCAATCCCCAAAGAAGCGATTTACGCGTCAACGTCGAAAGCGATCACTTTCTTGGGGAATCGTATCATGTGAGCATCATTCAGACAGCTGGCAAGGAGTCAGTTTTTGCAGCACTGGTCAGATTGTCTTTTTGAAAGACAAAGCACGTTTCCAGTAACTTCCGAAATCCAGAGAGACATGTTCAATGAAAGTAAATTCCTCCCCCCCCATTCTCATATAAAACAAAATCCTTTAAACCTTTTCTTCTTTCTTAAATGCCTTATTTGTCATTTTGCAGTAAAATAATAATAATAAAAAATAATAATCAGTCATCTAGGCTAACCATTTAATATATTTATCTTAACCAAAATACTGTTGATTTTTGTAATTCAGTTTTTAATCCTTAAGAAACTAACTTTATTTTAATGTTAGTTGTATCACTTAATGTGTCTTCTTCCTTCTAAATTTATTTATTATTAGTTAGCGATACTTTCAAATTTCATACAATTTTCCCTGGCATTCTTGTGAAACTAATTTTAGCAGTAATGTGACATACCATCATGAAATTGAGTAGACATATTTTTTACTTATGCATGCTGCTAAATAAATATAAAATACTTGAATTTATTTAAAAATATCATTAAATAGTCTTATGTAATAGGCAAATTTTTGTGTTTTCAAATGCTACCATAATTAATTTACCCTCAGCACAGTCAACGTGATAACCTCTTAAGAAAATCAGCCAATAACAAAAAGTGGTTAAAAGATAATGTTCTCAGTTGGCTTCCTAAATGTAGGTGATCTATAAATAGATCACTGGGTGGTTACGGGTTAATGTTTCATAGTTCTTCATTTGAGATAGTCCGTAATGACATTATTAATTTCCAAACATGCTGCTGTGCGGTATGACGATAGATAGTAATCTGAAATATTGATCTAATTAAAATAATTACTTAATGATGACTGTGATTTCAGTAATCATTTTTATATGGAGGATTTTAAGCATAAGTTCCTAAAGAACTTTACAAAATTAGCACTGTTAAGGATCTTACATTTGAATGTAAAACATATTTATGTGTTAAATTAATTTTTAAGTTCATTAAATTTGAAAGTAAAAGTTCAGCATTACATTGTTAGAAATTAATATCTTTGGAATCTTATATATGAATTTAAAACTTAAGTATAGAATGAATTTAAAAATTAAGTATAGAATGAATTTTTAAGTTCAGCATTACAATAAATTATAATTTCCGTAAAAAATCATATTAGGAAGGTCATTCTGAGAGCAAATACCCTTTGCATTCTTTGCCTTAATTAATTAACTAAGCAGTCCCTTTTTGTAAAATAATCAATAATATTTTTAAACGTTACAAATTGAAATGTTTACTCAAAGATTTAAAAAAATTTCTTGTGCATATCGATTTAATTGGTTTTGATTTTGTTTTGTATAATGAAAATTAGTGATAGAGAGATTCTAGCTACGAAACATTCCATATGAAATTTTTTTAAAAATTATATTTAGTGATGAATTGACATTAGAAGGTATCAAGCAGTTCTTCGTTGCCGTTGAAAGGGAAGAGTGGAAATTGGATACTTTGTGTGATTTATATGACACACTGACTATTACTCAAGCTGTAATATTTTGTAATACAAAAAGGAAGGTATGTATAGATTTTATTATTTTTACCTTTTAAGAACCTTTAGAATAAGTAACTTATCGAGAATGGATTTATGGTCACATATCTAAAATAATATTCTGATTGATATCTGTTGCTGCTATTAGAAAATCTTAACTTTTTTTTTAATAATTTACTTTGAAAATAGTTACTGATATTACTTCTTATTTTTCATGGTGTAAATTTCTAAATACTGCTGTTTCCAAACATTTAGCTTCATGGGCATTGTTATTATTGACTGTTTAATATACTATTCAACTTAAATAAAGCATTTTTCCTACATTTTCTTTGTCAGCATAAAGAATAAAAATATGCTGTATTATTTCCATTTAAAATATGATAGCGCAATTAGTATTTTAAGGTAATTTTTAAAAAGCCTTCAATCATTAATTTGTATATTTTTATTGAAACTAATTTTTGAATGCCTTTAGATCAGAGGTTTCCAACCCTATGTCCGCAAGCACCATGGCGCCCGCTGATCGCTCAACTTGGGTCCACCACAGTGCATTTAAAATGCTTTAGTTTTTAATGAAATTCTATGTGAAAGCTTTCTCATTTTTAATGATATAGAAATAGCATCCAACACAAATACCAGCACAAAGCGAAATGCAACCGATTTCTTCTTTTATGTGCATATATTATTAATTCTATCCAACCATAAATTCACATTGAAAATGTAAATGGTGCCTGCCATGCAACAGATATGTATTCTAGAATGTGCTCTTAGGGACAAAAAGATTGGGGACCCCTGTGTAAGATTATCTTATGGAAATATTGTCCAAGACTTATTGTACAGTATTGCATTGGAGTATTACTGCGTGTGCATATGTGAAGTTCTGGTACTCCGTCCTTTTTTTTTCTGTCTCTAGCTTGTACATAATAAGTAATATGTGTCATATCAGTGTTATCTGTAATGTGTACATTAATATCAGAAATATAAATTCTAGTATTTATTTGGATTTATTTCTGTATATCAGGTTGACTGGTTGACAGAAAAAATGAGAGAAGCTAATTTTACTGTTTCATCAATGCATGGTGATATGCCTCAAAAAGAGAGAGATGCTATCATGAAGGAATTTCGTTCAGGACAAACGTAAGTGTATCTTAAGTAAATGCTAATCTTTTAATTAACAGCATCTTTCAAAGCCATTCATGAATTGTTATTTTTATGCAGCTTTTCTTCTTTTGTATTAATATTTGAATTTTTTTTAGTAGTCTGGAGATCATGCAAATTCCAAATTGAAATTTATATATTGTAGAAGAAAATAGACAAATATTTAACAGATGAATAGATAGTGGCTGTGTAGCTAAGTGAAAGAAATCTGCATTCAAAAGGGAAGTTTGAGGGTTTCATTGTAAAATAAAATAGCAGAGATCCAGATAACAAGTATTAAAATATACTAGAGTAAAAGTGTAAAAATTTAAATGCACAAACTAGGAATTGTAATCCTAGAATAGTGTACTTGATTCTGAAATATTAATAAATAATTAAATATGACACTGTAATTAAAATTATGATGGTAATACATGACCATAAAGCAAATTTATGGTTTTATTTGAATGATAGCTTATTACCTGTGGAATAAAAACTAATTATTATATTGCTGGCAAAATGAATAATGTATTGCTAAATTTATGATTTCTGTTAGTGCTTATATCATGTGCAGTAAATAATATCTGTAACAAATAATAACTCAAAATACAAGTTGATCTGTCAGCACTATCCTTATCTTCAGGGCAGATATTTTTATTTTATTCGGCTTATAATTCCTTACTAAATGTAGTATTTCATCTCAATGTACTCCATCTTTGATATGATTTAAATCAATTCCTCGTCATTATAAATATCACGAATACACATCAAATAGTTTTCTGGTTGCAATTTTCTAATTTCGACTATGTGTGATGTATGCTTTACGCATGCACGCGTTGAAAGAAATGTTTAATAAAGTAAACAAATAAATATTAAGCCTTTTTTTGTTTTTGTAAATTTTGATACCCTGTAGATCATAATTGCTCTTTGTTTCATAAATTACGGTTTCATATTTTTAATTTTATGATTTCTGCACGCCAACTTACCAGATTTAAATTGATGATCTTATAATCTGAGTAAACCGATAATCCGGAATCGCCGAAGTCCCGACGAGTCCAGATTAAAGACTTTTGACTGTATATCCACTCTGATACTCACCCTAGTAATCTCAGTTTCTTTATTCGGTACTTTTCTGTTTCGTCGGCGCAATTCTCGCCAAGTAGACTTTATTGGCGAAAACACACAGTATACACATAGAAAATATTGACAAATGTTAGTTCTAAGAGTTTTTTATTTTGAAGGTACAAACATTTTAATGTCGTTTAAAATTTTTGTAAAAAAGCCAATAAATTTGTAAAAAGACATTAATTTAAGAATTTACTATGCTTTCATCCTACAACATCCTGATTCGGCGATTCGTATCACGTGATCCCAAGTGATCTCATCTCATACGTAAACTACGCTACAAAAATCTAATTCTCTCAGTAATTATCTACATTAACTTCAAGTTAAATCTTAATTTGGAATACAAGTTTAAATGCAAGAATTATTTCAATTCGTACGAATAGCTTACTCAGAAATTAAAACCGCAGTGCTTTACTTCGCTAGTGCATTGTCATTAAAATGGATGAATTTAACCCTTGGCTTTGCCTTTTCTATATTTTCGCCATCGGGTGAGCGGTGTGATTGCATCCTAATTGACTTAATTACCGCCCGCGAATGGCTTTAGAGCATAAAATTGAATAGCTGGAAAACTTCTATGTAATTGTAGGCCAGTATTGAAAGAAACAATCAATCTGATAAGAAATGGTTGCGACTTGTTTTGAAATGTAAATAAAGTAAAAGGTTCTAGCGAGATATTTCGTTTAGATCGGTTGTACCATTACTGGCGACTTATTGCTTGCGCCGGGCAAAAACGAAAAGTACCCTTTTATTCTTATATGTTTGTAAATTGTACACTTTTTGCTTAAAAATGATTTAATTATTTTGTTTTGTATCTTCAGTTAAGGTTTTTTTTATGCCTTTAGTAAATCGCATGAATATTTTTAGAATTAATAGTAACAATTTAAAGTTGTTTAAGTGCCGCTAAGCCTAATTTATTTTTGCAATGGCTGTTTACATTTGAAACAGAGTGATTGTTGCCAATCTAGAAAGTAAGCTTCGCAAAAACAAAGATAACACCTTCTTTATTATTGTGAATTAAATCATGCTTTATCCATTCTGGAATTTATTCGATGAAATAAGTGTAAGATTTACTGCATAATTTTCAATACAGATATTTTGACTTTTTGTGTATTTTTGCCTTGTCGCGAAGTAAAAGCTGAATTAATTGACTGAAAAAGACTGAATCGTCTGTGGAAAAACTGTTTCTTTTATGTTGTTGTTGTTTGCATAACTTCTTTTATACTTAATTTATTGTTTTAGATTTATTATAGTATTTGAATAGAATATGTGGCAACGATTAGATAATTCCATAGACTCCAACTACTACGGATTCCTCCGTAGTTTCTGGGATACGAAAACTACGTTAACGAAAAGATGGAAAATACGCAAACAGAAACAAGAGACAGGGAAGCCATACGCAAAACGGAACCAAAATTCAGCCGAATCTAATCATAACACTCAAGTGTTGTTACATTAGATTAGCAAATAGTTCCACCAACCCCCAATGTCAATATCACCCAGGTTCCTCGCTGAGCGTGTTTAGGCTGCATTCGGCTGCATTGTTGTAGTTTACGGCGAAGCTTACATGTGTCTTTGAACTGTGAACGTGAAAATCATAATGCTGCCTCGAACGAAGAAGCCAAAATTATCAAAGCAGAAGTTTAAAGATTCATATTCTTCGAATTTCCATGCATTAAGCCCCGAAATTTCCTGTGAATCACGCACACTGCAGTGTATGCAACAAAGACTTTCCAGTTCTCATGGCGGAAAAGATGACTGTAAACGGCATGTGTTTTTCTCAAAAGCATATAGAATTGCACCGTAAATCTAAAGAAACAAATTTTAATAAAAGATGATGAAACAGATCCTATAAAAGCCGAATGCTATTTTGTTCGTTTTTTAATTGACATAATCTACCGCTTTCTGTTTCGGATCATTCCAAAGAGCTTTTCAAAGCAATGTTTCCGGATTCTGCCATAGCAAAAAAATTTAGCTGCGGTCATACCAAAACTGCTGCTATTGTGAAAACGCTTGCAGAAAATACTGTTGCTGATATTATAAAATCAGTGGCAGTACATCGTTTTCTCTAAGTAACTGATGGAAGTATGATAACAATGATAACAAACTGTACCCATTGGTTATAACATACTACAGTAAAGAAAGGGAGTGATAATACTTATTGATTTCTATTTTAGAATGCACGAATAATACGGAGAAGGATTTTTAATTGTATAAATACACGAAAATTTAAAACAAAGGTTTAGAATGGAAAAATGTTATCATTTTCTTCAGATAATGCTAGTAATATGATTGGAAAGTTTAAAGGTGTAGCTCATTTATCAAAATGCATCAACCAAGTATAATCCCCGAGTTGTCCGTGCCACCTCTTGCATATAGCTGCAAAAAAAGCTACTGAAAAATTATTGGCTCAGAATTGAAATGTTGAAAAGATATATTTTTACTTGGAGAAAAGTTCGAAACGGAAGCATAGCTTCAAAGTTGCTCAACAATTTGGGCAGAATGCAAAATCTCATAAAATTTTGAATATTCAGACGAGATGGTTCTCTCTTTTCGATAACAAGGATTTTGGAACAGTGGGATGCTGTGATAATTTTTTTGGAGATAAACCAATACAGTGAGAAATGAAGGAAAGAATTGCAAACATTAAAAAATTTTACCAGTCACCGACCACCAATTGTATTGTATTTTTGAAAAATACTTGCCTTTGTTTAGAACGTAAAATTAATTTGCAACAACAAGCTCCTTATATACATAAATTGAGAACTTTGAACTTTTAATGAATTTATTTGTTAGATTCGTAAAACCATCAGTAATTTCTAAAGAAAATGAAGATGTTACTCTAACGCTATTCCATTCAGAGTATGTAAACAAAAGAAAATGAAAATTTAGTGATTGGGCGGAAACAGACTATATTTAAAAAGCCAAGTGAATGAAAGTGAGTAAATCATTTTTCAATTCTGTGAGCTTTTTTTTTGTAACTGCATGTTCATATATATTGATAATTTTCCATGAGTGATCCTTTCTAAAACATTCGAAGTTGCTGACATCAACTTGAGAACTGAAAGTCTCATTTTCATCTGTCTTTACTTATGAATACTTTTCCATCCATTATTGATGAAAATGTCTAATCAGTAGAAATTGAATTTTCCATTGTATCAAGTAGATGATTTGAAAGAAATGTAGATTTGCATATTGATAGCATGGGAGAATTGCCAAATTAAAAAATAATGGTGTATTAATACAAGTATTGCCTTCTGTAATGCTTGCTGTCTTAATAAACCTCTTCAATGCAGCTTGCAAAGAATTTTTTTTCTATTGTTAAAAAAAATCAGACCGAATTTCGACATTTAGGTCTAAAACTCTTGAAGCGTTTTGATTGAAAAAAAATATGCAGGCAAATGAAGACTGTGTTATAAAAAAACATTCTCAAAATCAGAACTTAAGCTTGCTAGCATGCAATATAAATCTTGCATTCATAAATTATGCGTATTTTGTTTAAACTTTTATCATTCTTGGTTATTTAATTTTTTTCCTGTAGAAATCAATCCAGATAAAGATATGATTTATAGCTTCTGATTTTTCTATGTTAGTAGTGATTTGAAGTACTTTTATTAGTGAATGCTTGAGGTTAAAAGAATTTCTAATTAAATGTGCATATAATTTACAGTATATTTTAATATTCGTTTTAATGTATAGGATTTTAATGTATAAAATTGATTACAATATATTATTAAAATTAATGAATGGTTATTACAACATACGCTACGTCCATTTCAAGTGTAAAAATGTCGTTCGCGCGTTGACTACTGACAAGGTTTGCTGAAGGTTGGAGTCTATGTAATTCTTAAGATGATATAAATTTTGTGCATTCCGAGTTAAAAATAAATGAAATTTAATGCTGTTAAGTGAACCTAGGATCAGAGTGTCGCTGTAGTAAACAAATATAGTGAAGTTTAAAGAGTTCATTTATTCTATTGTGGTTTATGTGCTATCGACAAAATAAATTTAATTAAATCCAATAATTTTAAATAAAATGCAACAAATAATGCATATAATTTAATATTCCGTACAAGAAGTTGTGGTATACACATCATATCTTTTTTTATTAGTGTAATGCACAAAATTAAGTAGGAAATTTCCTATTTTGGGTGGATTATTCTGAAAAATATATCACAGTTAAAAGGTTGAATTGTAAAAAATGTTTGAACTTGAAATGCTGCTACAGATTTGAAGCATTGATGATTGTGAATGAAACTTAACAGTATTCAAAGATTTGAATAAGCATAAGAATTTAAAAAAAAAAAAAAAAAAAAAACCCAACTTTATAACGTTAACCATTTAGTACTTTTCCTGTTTTAATTTTAACTTTTTTGAATATTTTTTGTAATTTTATTTCAGAAGAGTTTTGATTACTACCGATGTTTGGGCAAGGGGCATAGATGTACAGCAAGTTTCATTGGTCATAAACTATGATTACCCATTAACAGAGAGTTGTATATACACAGGTAAGTATTTAATAATTTAACCCATTAACTGCCAAATTTTTATTTTATTTCTGTTAGTTTTCATCTAAATAATAAGAAAAACATGTTTTCTCATAAATGCGTCACTTTTTTTTCAGAAATTTTAAATTTAAGTCCGATCCCCAAATGGGGATCATGGCTGATACTATACTACTTTTAATGCGTTCAAGTCTACGTGTAATCCAACATTACATTTTTCCCACATTGTTTTCTTGCATGTTTTGCACTGCACATTTCTTTGTTTACCATTTTCGGTCTGTTCAATATAATGAATACCAGATATTCTGATAACAGTAAAAACACAATTAATTGATGCTTTAGTGAAAGAATTCCTTCCATCCTTTTTTCCATCTGAGAGTTCTGAAGATAAAGCAAGATACCCTCTAGCAACCATCCTCCTAAAATCTAGCAATGGTAATTTTATCATTTGAAATACAATACAGTGCGGGGGCATTAACCAGTGTTACGTCGATGGCATTAGTAAGCAAAGGAAAAACCATTTCCCCCCCTTATTCTGATTATGTATTTTGAACATTCCAATCCATCTTGTCTACTTCCACCCATGTATTTGTTATATTCTGATATCAGTTTTGGGTTGTGGTACTTGAATATCTTCTTCTCTGTTCTACTCCATCGCTTCACCTTGATATTGGTTCGATAGTTTCATGATTAGACAGAAGCCTTACACAACTCTGTCATTCCACGTGACAGCTAAAATTTCATTACGGGAATCAAAATCTGTAGTCATATGCCCCGCGTTCTTTTTTCCTTATCTCTTGTCTGTTGCAATAGGGAATTTGTTCATTCTTTGAATCGAACAGTTCCTGTTGCTCTAACATCAATGTCCTGCAAATGTTTCATCAGAGAAAATCCTGTGAAAAAATTGTGAAGTAAACTTTATGAGCATTTGGTGTCTGAAGAATAGATACCATATGAAGGCAA